ACCGATCAAATTATCTATGATATATCTTAGTTTCACTTCAAGCAGGGCCGAATCCTTAAGTGCCATCCCAAAATTTCACAATTTGTTGTCCATTACACATCTTGTTACATCTATCCTGGGGCACAGTGTATGTATAAATCTGCCAGGCTTTTACGATCCACGTATCCTAGTATGATTCATTTAACTTGTCTGGCCCATGCCTTGAAATTTATACTAATGCCTTGAACAGAGTATAGAAGGTTTCATGTAAGTTAAGATATTCGATGTATTTTAATTGTTTCGTACAAATGATGTTGTTATCTCTTATTCCATATGCTGTGCCGACCCTGTGCACACAGACATTGTCCGGTGTCAAACATGACAGCTCCATAATTGTTGTAAATGCTTTATCGGCTGATCGGCCTATTTTTAATTAAACTACTTATGTTACTGCAGCATCCTATTGATAAAGAGTCGTAGCAGAAATTATTAGTTCTGTAATTTGCAAGGGAAATACAGCAAGGGATTACAGCCTAAAATCCCTGCATTTTTCAACAAAATTTCAACAGGCTTCCCTAGTGCAACATTCTATATGAATAAAAACATACCGCAACAGTATTTTTTACTGAAAGTTAAATAAAATATATTGTTTATGAAATTCCGACGACCTCAACTATTTTCATTTTCCACCATAATAATATATTAATGTCCAACTAAAACCGAAATATATATTTGACATGCCACTCATAAAATCATTTAGCTTGTATTAATGTTTCGCTATATAATTTAAAAAATATGTTTTGTATCGCGTGCAAATAATGAAATATGTTTTTAGAATAAATAGTTGTAAACAACAAAATTTAAGCCAGTACAGTCTATCAAATGGTGAAATGATTTGCATGTTGCGATAAAAAACAGACAATAGTAGCATTTCCGTAATTTCATACCATGTATTCAACTAACAAGTTTCCCAGAATTTAGTATCACTTAAATGCATTTTCATATTTTAAATGCATTTGGTACTATGTTTAGTTCAAGGAAATATGGAACAATTATGAAAACAAGATTTGGTAGGATTCTAAACTGGATTTGCATGTTAAAGTTTATGAGTCCTGCTGTGACAAGTTCCTGAACGGGATATTATACAAGAAATTTGTTCAATATAGACAACATATAATAATAGTAACAATAATAATAATAAAACAACTTTATTAGGCATTTAGTGCAAGTTTAGTACAAGACTACTCTTACACATTACTTAAGCAAACGCTGCTCATAACAAAATCGGGTAATTTTAATAGATCTAAATAAACTAAGAAAAAATTTAACACAGAATATAACACTAAAGACAAAATATTACCCAAAAGAGAGTACACATATCATATATACACACACAATAATACCCATATGTAAATATAATTTCTTTTATATTTAATTCGACAAATTTTACTGGTTTTCATAAGAATTTTTTTAATTTTTAAGATAGCAAAAACAGAACCATGCTTAAATAATAATATTGATCATTGTCAATTTCATTATAGATAAGCGGGGCCTGGTATGAAGATCTAGACTGAAATTTGGCAGTTACATGTTGGGGAATGTGAATTTTTTACAGGTTACGAAGATAAATAGTATGCACTATCACGAAATTTAATTTCTCTGCAAAAAATATGGAGATATTTTGATATTGATAATACTATGAGTGCCAGTGGCAATATGCAATCTCGTATCATTTTTCATATTCAACCACTTAAGTTCAGCGCCAAGCTCTCAGGGTGAATTTTCGTTATTTTTTAAGAAATTTATTTTTTCAGTAATTTTAAGTTTTTGATGTATTTTTAGAGTAACAAAGTTATTTTCAGCTCTTTTTCTACTTTTATTCAATTTTTTTCCAGTGTATCTTTTTAGATACACTACTGGCAGGTGTATCATTAAAGATACACGCTACTTTTTCTTTTTTTTATCTACCTTTATGTGTTTTTTTAGGTTGGCGGAAAAGAGGAAAGAAGAACGAAAGCGCGAAGAGAATATAGGAGAAACGGGGGAAAAGCAATACTTATGTAATAGTGAATAGGTATTGTTTTTCCTAAATAATAATTGAAATTTCATTGTTTCTCCTAAATTCCCATTTTGTTACAGAGTGAATAGATCTATAATTCTTATATGAAAACTTGACCGTGTAAACTTTAGTAATAATTTGTGCTCGATATTTAGTGTTTGATAAAGAACCCTATAGTGAAAAAAAATTAACTTAGATAGTGATGATTCCATTGAAGATCCCAACTTTGACCCCTCAGATGAGTAATATAGCAATGAACAGACGAAAGTGGCTCTGAAGAGGATACGGCTGATCACCGCAATCGTAGACCCAAAGATACTAATGTCCCAAGTATTTCAGGTAATACCTCTCTCGAATCTGAATGGCTGAATGAAAAGCTAACAAACATAAAATGGGAAATGCCTACTCACGATGACCCACCGACAATCGAATATATTGTTCCATGCTCGGGCATGAAGAATATTTATGCGGGAATACTTGCACAGGCAAATACAATAGATTATTTTGATTTGTTCTTGAAACACACGATATTTTGACACATATTGTCGAGCAAACGAATTTATATGCGACTCAAAAATTACTTTTCAATGATACTCCTGCCCAGTCGAGAACACATGCTTGGTATTCAGTAACAGCTGGTGAAATTGAGAAATATCTGGCTCTTGTTGGTTGGATCAGCTTAGTAATGTTACCGGCAATAAACGATTATTTGCGGACGCATAAACTGTACAACATTCCCTTAGCTCGAACAGTAATGCCAAGAAACTGATTCGAGCTCATACTGAAATATATATACTTTTCCGATAATTCTACTGCTGATCCCAGTGACACACTTCATAAAGTAAGAGTATTGATGGACAAATTTATTGAAAACTATCAGAAGACATACATTCCCGGCGAAAAGGTCTGCGTGGTTGAGTCTTTGCTACCTTGGCGTGGAAGATTGATATTCTGGCAGTACATAACAAACAAAGCAGCCAAATATAGCATCAAGGTCTACAAACTCTGTACAGACAAAGGATATACCTGGATTATGATGGTTTATTGCGGTAAATCAAGGGATCCTGTAACTCAGGTTCTTGAAAAAACTGTAATGACATTGGCAGAGGATCTATGAAAGAAGAACCAGAACTAGAGCAAATCGGAAGTATCTGCCGAAGAATGTCATAAACGCGAAATTAAAGAGGGGTGAAATGTCTGTTATGCAAACAGAGGATGGAATTATTATCACCAAATGGCGTGATAAGCGGGATGTCAGAATGCTTTCGATTAAAACATCTGGACTAAAGACGACACCCAATTTTAGCAGAAGAAATGCACCCATAGTAAAACCGGCATTTCCGAGTATAACAATGGCAAATCATCAATTGATCTAAGCGATCAGTTGGCAACATTTGGATCTGCTTTGCGACGTTGTACAAAATGGTACCGCAAACTTTCATTCGAAATTATTTGGGGGAAAAGCTTAATAAATTCACATTTCTTGTACAACAAAAACGAAGATGGCCATCTCGGAGTTTCAGGAGGAAGTATAACTGCAATGCTTGAACAAAATCGTGCTGAAGACCAAACTGAAGCAGGAAGACGAATTGTGCCTCCAGAACGTAAACATTACTTGATAAAAAATAAAAAGGAAGGATAGAAAGTTCGTGGACGGTGTGCAGAATGCTATAGGAAATATGGAAGAGAAGGAACGGATGTCGGCGGTAAAATAGTGAAAGCTTCGCAGGTTGTAACCAAATGTTCCGTTTGCAATATTTTTATGTGATAAATGTTTCAATGCTACCCATTAGTATGACATATGTTCTATCGGTTAGTTCCATTTGATATTACTTGTTTTTTCTAAATAAACTTTTATTTAATAATTACGTGTTGTTTTAATATGAACTTTTACTGAATTTATGTGAAAACTTTCATCCAACCTACACTCCAATTTGAGTGGAAATTCTAGTAGGCCAGAGCATATAAGTCCCCATATAAAATATACGTAAAGTGTGTGCATTAGCGATACACATGACTAAAACAGAATATTAGTCGGTGTATCTTTTTAGATACACAATGTTTTGACAAAGTGTATCGAAAAAGATACACTGGCGCTGAACGTGTTAAGATTTTTAATTTTCTGATAAATATGATCAAATTTACGTAGTCCAAACACAAACCGACAACAGTAATATTGAACTTTTTGAGTGTAATGGGAATCGAAAACATCCAAGCAAGGGCCATACATTGTATCACAATAATTAAAATAAATAAGTACATGATATTCACAGAGTAGTACTTTAACATTTTGATTTAAAATACTCCCCTATTTGCGTATGATAACTTCACCGATGAATAAGATTTACTAACGTAGAAACCGGCAAAGTAAAATCATTTATTTCTATTTGTATATTCTCCCAACAGCAGAATTTCCTAATGGTAATAATGACGACTTAAGGGGATTAATATGTAGATTATGTTTTTTGCACTACTCAAAGAATCGCAAGCTATAAAGTAATTATCTTCTGTGAAACTACTGTAGATATGTGTATCGTCCGCGTAAAAATGTCATTTGCTATCTTGTAAACTCTTAGCAGGATCAGATGTGTAAATTATGAAGAGTAAAGGTTCAGGTATAGATCCTTGATGTAGACTATATTAAGAAGAACTTGAACTTTTTGTGTTTTGTTATTTAAAAATTACTTGAATGAAACAGTGAATCATCAATACAGCAAATCCAAAATATTTCAACTTACAACAAAATAATTCGAAATTGGTGGTATCAAATGCCTAGGGTTATAAATACTGTAAGTTCTTTATTAAAAAAAATAAAAATGAAACACTACATGTAATACAACCCCCTGTATCCCTGAAGATACCTCAAGGTACTTTGTGTGGGAGAGGATTACACATTTAGAGACAATGGACACACACCCAATGTCCGAGTATGCTAAGATTAATTTCTGGTTTAGAAAAAATCCTACCTCGTCGACTGGGGATCGAACCCAGGACTCCAGGGTGAAGTGTCCCTACCACTGGACCACGAAGCCATTATGATCTCTAGCTTGTAAAATACCATTTCAAATCTTGATTACCGCTGATGCGGTAGTTATGTCCTATTCTACATCTGGATTGATAGACAGGAAGATGAAAAGTGACACTAGAACCTTCCTTAAAGATGTTAGAATAAAACTCTTTTAAATCAGAACAATCCTCGTTGAACTGTTCCGCCACTGACGCAAAGAAGTTATTATCAGAGCTGAGTTTTGAAAATTAGAGGGACTCTCAGAAGTTTTATTAGGTCTGATATTTAATTCTTTGATACGCTTTCACAGACTTTTCTATTCTTATTAAGATTTAAACAAACAAAATCTAAAAATGGTTTTCCCTGCTAACTGCTGGTGAAGAAAAATGTCGCCATTGTTTATAGTTGTTAAGATCAGATTGAAATCACCTTTTCTTATATTTATTTTCTGTACAATCTCTAGTTTATAATTAGTTTTGAGGATATCAATGAGCCATAAGGGTTTGGGCTTTGTTACGAGTATACGTTCAGAAGTCATAGCCAATGTAACTGGTTACTTAAGTATTAAACATGAAAAAACATTCAACTAGATTTTGTCTTATATTGATTGAAGTACAAATTGATATATTCCTGTATAATCTAATAAACAATTTCAAAAAATTTTAAGTAAATTGCTGATTTGCAATTAATTTCTATTAAAAAAATCTAGCATAATTTAAAATGCAGCTTATTTCTTATATGCTTCAATGTATAGTCTATTTCTGGTTGTAAAAATAAAAGGAAACCCAATCAGTAAGCGGATCGTTTATTTCAATTGACATTTAATCCAATCAGTAAAGCCGTCGCAGCTTAAGAAGAGCCGTTGTCATAGGAAAGGTTCATTCAATTCAATATATAGAAAACAAGAAGAATTCTAACGGCAAAGGCGAACAATTCCTTCTAATTTCAAGGAATAGATTGATATGACAGGTAACGTAGAAAAGCAAATTGGATTTAAAGGTCTTATTTTAGCTGAAATATTGAATGATTTTTAGACCAATTCAGGAAACCAAGTTTGATAAATTTGTGATAATTGGCTTCAATTTCAAATATGAAGTACTTTGTGTAACAACATTTTCGAGAGTTTAGGATTTTGAGAATAGTAATGTGATGCTGTAGTTTAAAGAAAATTTTGTGCTTGGCAAAACTTTTAACTTTTGGAAAAGTATGAACTAAAGCATGTTGTAATAAATAGTAATAATAAAAAAAAATAATTACAAAACTGCAATATTCCTAATGCGGTATCTATTTATCTAGAAGTATTAAAAAAAATTACGTAAGTGTAAAATATATGACTAATCCAGTTTGTTGGGTTGGAACTTTAATATGACGACACAACTCTTAAGCAGCTTCCAGAAACATAAAAATTCACTACTGTACTCGACACGCGTTTCTCCAACAAAGTTGGCATCATCTGGAGATTATTAAAATTCAATCGCCACAAGATGATGCCACTAGGTTGACGAAAACGATTAAAGAGCCCGATGAATATGGTACCGAGTATTTTGGTATTTCTCAAAGCTTCTTCCATGCTGGTGGTTAATGTTACTAAATATGATTTATATACCTGGCAAAACATATGGGTTATTCGACAAATACTTTGACTTTGACTCAACTCCCAATGGATAGGCCAGAGTTGGAGCCGAGGAGTCTGCTTAGTCCTGAGCCTATTGGATATTACAAGCAGACAGGTTACGACCGCCCTCAAGGAGTGTTCCTATGAGACATTGAGGAAGCATTGGAGGGTTAACAGAGCCTGTAGGCTATCTCGAAATTTTCTTTGAATGGGCTGAACAAGTCGAGACCGGCCTAGTTAGTGGGCTGGAATCGAAACATTCTGAATCTTTTAATCGGTGTTAAGTTTTGACAGGCCCTGCAAACTTAGGAGACATCAATCATTCATATCATTGATACCTGTTGAGGAAGACCCTACATATCTAGGATCCGGGAGTGATTACCACTTCCTGAGGCAGTGCAAGATGTTCGGGCGCCTGAAGCATAGCATCTTCGATACTGAGGCGCTTCAGAGAGAGCTCCCTCGAGTGACATCCTGACCTTCACAGAAGATTGGAAAAATTTGATGAGGGAGCAGGAGAGACACATGATTGTTGGGACAGCTGGGGCGGGAGGGGGAAGGGCCTTCTACGCTTAAAAGAGATTTTTTTTACGGAAATCTAAAGAAAGCTTAAGTCATCGACATTCTCCACCCTCGAAAATCACATCCACTCTCGTTGGTTAAATATTAATTGAAGCATCAAAAACATTTTACTGAATGCCAATAAATCAGAAATATTTACTTTTGTCAAGAATTTGCTGGGGTGCTTTTACTTTATTTTATTCAAGGACAATATTTTACTAAAGCAAATCCAAATTTGTAGAAGAATTAATAAATTTCATAGTTCATAAAAGAAAATGAGACTATTTTATCTTTAAAAATCTCCAAAACTTAATAAACAAAATCATTTTTTGTTTCAATTAATTGCCTAGGACGTATTAATTAATTTTTTTCAGTAAACAATATTGAGTCCTCAGGTAACCATGCTCCTCCTAGCAACAATCCCGCCCTCACGTCCATAGCAAACATTTTTTTCATTTTGGCGAGTAGTCAGTTTCTGAATTTATTCAGCAAATGTTTTGAACATCCTTTATATGATATATAGGATACATTAAATACATGTACCTGATCCACGTTATTTTGTTTTCAGTACTGCTTAAATAATATTTTGTGTCTATTATATCCGAACTCAGATTCACCCTTATCTCTTTTTAACAGCGTTATTAACAATTTCTACAGCACGCAACACATGATGCATCAACAGTGCAGATAAATGATAATTAAATGTAAGCAAGAGCATACATAATTATGAATAATAAATTATAGAAATAATTATATGTTGCTTATCAGATTTTTTAAAAAATAATATGTCAGGTATGGTTTATGTCATAGGAATGGGTCTCTGGTTTTTAAACGTAAAAGTTATAATGTACTACGAGCATAAATGTGAAATTTTTAACGTCCGTTCTAAAAGAAATAGGAATTCTGGGCGACATGCCAGAAACGGGTTAAAACCTAATACTATATTTCGAAAACCACGCGATATAGTAATAAAATAAATGGTAATTTTTGACAGTAATTCTTTGCATACATATTAAACTTTGCATATAAAATCCGCACTACCTTGGTGAGAATAGCGACAGAGCAGAAAACCTATAAGTATACCGCGCTCCCCGCGTTCACTTCTGTTATTTACATCATGCCCAAAATTCCTACCCTGTGATGTTTTCCAAAAAGAATGAAAGAATTTGTACAACTTTTCGGAAGATTCGTAATTTTTAACTAGAACGAAAGATTTATTTTTATAAAAATGAGGATTTTCGGTAAGTGATTGAACTTTTTAATAATTTATCATCGAGAGGTCAATCCCTTGTGAGATGTTTGATGTTCATATTGGAAATAAAAAAAGAGGCTTCTTTTTCACAAAATTCTTTGTTGATGCTACCGGTTTCGTGAATTAATATTTGTTTCACATCATAATTTTTCGTTAACATACACCTTAATCATAAATGAATGTTGCAAAAAAGAAACTTAAATATTTATTTTATTTCAAACAATATCGAACCAACTTTTGGTATGAAATGAAAGATTATAGAACAAAGTTAAGTATGTATGCTTACGTCTAATATTTTTCTACATGGCCCCTATTAATAGTAATTACTAATTAAATATGATGCTTAAATTCTTCAAAAGTATTTCATAGCATATCTGGGGTAACTTAAGCAATCGCATCTCGAATTCTTTGATTAAAATCGTCTAGACTTTGTGATTTTGCTCGATACACAATTGAAGGGGTTGATGCATAAAGGTGTTATCTTACATCTTTTCAAATTGCAGTATCCTCTTCGATAAAGTTGTTAAATGATGTTACAACTCATCACCTATGTTTCGTTAGGTTTGCATGAGTAGATGCTTAGATACCAAATGGATAAAGGAGCTGAGAAACGACATAACTCCGTGTCTCTGGTGAATAAATGTGTTAAAAACGTTTTTCTGACGAATTAGCAATGTACTAATTAACAACTTTATCCATCATCCACTCACAATCTTTCAATTGTTTTTAGATATCCCCACAAAAAAATCTGTATCTGGTGAATTTGGTGGCCAAGGAGGAGATCCTCCTCTACCTTTCCATTATCCAGGAAACGTCTGATTCAAAAAGTTTCGAACAATTCTGACACAATGGAGAGGCACCCCTTCTATTGGAGGAAGACTCTATTCTCGAAAGGTTTGTTCCAACAGCAGACTCGGACTAGTGTGAAACTGGCAGAAATATTCGCCCAGTTAAGTATTAACGTAAATACAGTGAGCTTAGCATATATGAAGCAGCTGCGTGAATATTTCTGATGGTTTCAAACTGGTCCGAGGCTGCTGTTGGAAAAAACCTAAAGTTTAGTGTAGCTACGTTATATATAAAATTTCTGAAACATTTGAGGGTACGATTATTTTCATAAAGAAAAAGGGTCCATAAACACGATTCTGCGATAAAATGCACCAGTCATTAACCTTTGACGAATCTCTTTTGTGTTAAAAAATTTCATGCGGATTATGTTCTCCCCAAATTCTACAATTATGTTTATTGTTTCTTCCGAAGACACGAAATGTTGCTTCGTCAGAAAAAGTGAGATTAAGAGCAAAATCAGTATCTGGTTCTAATCGTTGAAAGAAATCTCGAGCAACGTCTATTATTCTTCTTGCATGATCTATTCAACAAATGCAAAACTTGATTTTTATATGCTCTCATTTTAAAATCTTTACGAGGAATTTTGTGAACTGTAAAATATGAAATCACGATTTTGGACTTCTAACAAAGGTCTAACGAACAGCATTTAAGTTTCTAAAGATTACTTTGGTCTTCCACTTGACTTTTCTTTATACAAACTTGAGAATTTCTTTACCCATCGACGAATTAAATTCCTAAGAGTGATTCC